CGTAATCGGAATTTGTTGTCCAGTTACTCTCTTTCTTTTTTGATACTTTGTCACTGAAAGAATTTGATGGTCGGCAGCAAACTGATTCCCCACAATTTGTCTCATATCCTTTCTTATATTTGAATTATAGTATCAGTTACTCAGATGAATCACCCATAATCTTTTATTGTCATCTTCTTTGGATGTCGGAATATGTATCTTGGTAAGTGACCTCAGGAAGTCGATTTCCTCATGACCATCCACGCCCAGTGGGTTAAGGTGCGAGCTCGTGGCCATTTGGTTCTTTAGCCATTGTGAGCAGGAAGACACAGAGTTGCTCCGGGTCTGTATAAAGCAAATCAAACACGTGAAAGCTTATAGATTAGTTATTCATAAAAGTTTCGGACCCAAAGAGCCACTACTTATCCTTTCTTTATTATGAATAGGCAACTTGAATTAATGACAAAGCTACCAAGATTTTCTGGTTTTTTTGTTCTCCTACTAAACTTTTCTCACTATAAAACTCTTCCATTTTTTCGTAAAAAATCTTTCCGATATAAAAATAGACTATAGAAATTGCCCTATCTAACTTATCACTTTTTACTTCTAATTCTCTAGCCACCTCAATTAACTCCTCCAGACTTTTACCTGCTAAGCAAGGCCGATATGGAAGAATCCATATAAGCTTAGTGTATGTCGAAGCAGTGGGAGCAACTAAACCGATACCATTGTTAAGGCAGACGGATTGCAATAAATTTATTATCATTTGCATCGTTGCAGCTCAGTGCGATTCGTTCAAGTTTCACGGACTCATCAGAATGCTAAGCCAGACAGTTTTGTGCCATGTCCAGGACGTTTAGAGCTTGCAAGGCTTGAAAAAAGGAATAAGCTTAATTTTGAATTTTTCAGTTTTTCTTCCAATCGCCCCCATATATAATTCTATAATAATTACCTTTGTGGGAATTATTTGACTTCTACAGGGCCTAGTTGCAATATTACGTTCAAAATCAGCGCCAGAATACTGTAAGAAAGCAAAAAAAAATAAATAAGAATACATTAACAGAAAAAAAAATAAATATTTGAATTTATAAGTTCATCGACAAGACATTTGCGATCGATTGAATCAGTTATTGATTTTTTTCCAGTTTATTTTTTTCTAAAGAGTGCCAATTTCCAAGAATAAATAATGAATATTGTGCTCGAATTAATACTACATTCAATCTTCTTAGATCGTTCAAGAACCCAACATTGTTTTCTTTGGACAAGATAAAATCGGAAGTTAGCAAAATAATGAGAAAAAATTATTATTCTCTGTTTCTAATTAATTGTATGAAAAAAAAAATTCGAGAATAAATAATACAAACTTACCATTGTATTAAATTCTATATTTGTGTATAGATTATGGTTTATTTCTAAATTGTTTTGAATCTCCAAAAGCTGACTTTTATAAAACGTTATCACATTAATACATTCTATAAACTAAATAAATACTTATACATCTAAATTAAAATAATTAATCACCGAAAATATTGTAACTCTAAGGAAAAACTTGTATCAACTTCGGGAAAGTCTATTACCAATATACAATATCTATCAATTTGACCACTTCTTTCGAGTTTTAACAGAGAATTTTTTCATATGACATACTGTAACACCTTTAAATAATCATGTAGATCTTTCCTTTTATAGCACAATATGCATATATGCATTAGGGACCTTTAGTAAAATCGATAGAATATGCACGTTTATGTTATGCAAATAGTTTTTAAGTTCCGACATGGGACCAAGCTATTTTTATGCAAATATACAGATTATGCAAATATACAATATGCAAATAGACAGGTGCTACTGTAGCATGATGTTTAAGTTTTGCCAGTCTTTTCTTTTATTCAGTGATCTCGTTATTAACTTTTTTCAACTTTTTCCATAAAGTATAATGAATATTAGGATCATTAGATATACACTACATGGACAAAAGTATTGCACATCTTAAATTTATTATTACATAAAAATGTACATAATAATTTTATTTG